CTTGACATGCAGCTGTGCGAGCTGTGCCGTGACCGTCCTTCTGGGAGGCTCTCCACAAGACTAGTTTTGGATGATCTTTTTTACTTGGAGACTGGCATCCATAATTTGTGTGGTTTTGAGCTTTTACTTGGGCTGTATGGACACCCTGTCAAGAAGATGTCCTAAAAAGGAGTATCCGTTCTTACTGGGTAATTTGGCTATTTCTAGTCTCTCTGTGGTGGTGATATCCATTGCTGCCCTTCCATCCATCCGAGACAGCTAGAGTACAGCAGTAGTCTTCTTTCATGGTAACTCTCTTCAGCTGTTTACTCAGCTGTTTAATTTGTTCCTGGCCAAGGCATTGTTTTGCAAAGGGTTATCTAGGAATATGCTTTGACAGTGTGGAAGTTCTCAGCTAAGCAGGAGGCCGATGCTCTGGAGCAGCAGCGAGCTGTGGTCCTGCCAGGACGAGGAAGACCGGCCGGTCAGTGTAGTCTGCAGCTCGCGTAAATCCCTGAGAAACGAGACGGGCTTCGGACGATGCTTGGATGTATCTGCAAAGCAAGTTGCTCTGTTTAGGGCTCCCACTAGTGCCTGTTCACCTCCCTGGCTTATTAGAGAAGATCCAGAGGAGGAGAGGTTGGTTGGTTGGTCTTTGCGTGGCTGTTTTAAATGGGCTGTTGCTGGAATTGGTAAAAGCTTTTAGTAACTCGCCTACCTTTTTTTTTTTTTTTTTTTCCCTTGAATACCCAGAAGCCTGACAATGGCCTGAACTTTAAAATTTTTACTTTTAATGTATTCAACACTTTTTTTGTGGCTCAAAAAGCCTGTCTTATAAAGGACTTAGGTTTTGTTTGGGGGGGATTTTTTTGAGTATAATAAATATCTCAGCAAATAATTTAGTTTTAAGAAGTGAGTACCAGAGCTAATGCTGACATTCACAGATACACGACTGTGATGGCTGATTCATAATTCATGGCATGGCATACCAAGGCTTGTCCTTATTTCCAGGCATAATTAATGCCTGTAGCAGTAGCGAGAATATTTTATTTAACCCTGTTGTTCTTTTTATTAAAACCAGTGTTCTAGAAACTAACACCCCACTTGAATTGGCAAAATAAGTTTCTGTAATTGCATCCCTTTTTTGGATACATTTGATACTAGCTGTTCACTCTGTAGGAAATGTTAGTTTATTGCATTTTAATTAGAATATGATAAAGTGATAAGTAGTTGCTGTAAAAAAAAAAAAAAAGCTCTAACGTTTAGAGCTCTAAAAGCTCTAAATAAAGCTAAACAAGCATTAATTTGCAGGTTATTTGCATTGTCATTGTTCTAGGAGAAATCTGAATTTTGACTCCGTGTACTGTTAAAATAAACTGCTGTGAGTGTCCTGCCTGTGTTCGTTGCTGCACGTTGTGTCCCCGCTGGAGCGATCTCTTTTGTCACAACAGAAACGACCCGTCAGCTGGGGGCTCAGTTTTCGGGTGCCAACCACTCTTGCTTTCACCCTTTCAGACTTGTGACCTCTAGTTTGGGAACTACTGAATTATAAGATTTAAACAGCTTAATAAGTTGGTAAAAGGCCGATGAGGGGGAATTGGTCACGGTTGCAAACAAAAACAGGGCATTGCTCTGTTCGTGATTTCTGTAGCCCCAAGTAGTAATTTAGCATTGGCGAAATTTCCTTTAATTCCTGATTTCTCTGAAGTATTTACACTTCAAAGGCTGTAATTCCAGTAATACTTTGGGGGGAGGATCAGCTTTTACGATGAACGACCTATGCCTTCAGGTTTAGGTCTGAGATCGCTCATGCACAGCCTTAGAGAAACTGTTTATATGTTCCAGCAAAACAAGGGGAAAAAACAAACATGAATATCATGGATATATTGCTTCATACCTTTAAAAATACTTTCCGATGCTGCACTCCTTAAGTCTTTTAAGTATTGTATGATGAAATCCTTTTTATAGCAGTAGCAGGGGAATAAACCAATTTAACACAGTCCCTTTACAGGTTTAAATTACCTCTTTCTGCTATTGAAATTCTGAATTCTTTTTTTTCTACAGTTGAATAAAAATCCATCTATCCATTTAGCATGTGAAAAGCCTCTATTTCTAGATTTTTTTTTTTTTTCGGTGACCGGAGAGACTTAATGCGATGGTTCTTGGAAAATACTCTGCTTCTCTGAATCCTTTTCAGTTCACTTTCAGCGTGCACAAACCCGCTGTCGGCGCGGCCGTGCCCCGAGCCCCGGCTGGACGCGCTCTCCTCTCGCTAGCGGGGTGCGAGCGGCCGCCTCTTCCTTGCGTCTTCCTTGGATGCATCCGCCCCCCCCTGCCGGCCGAGAAGCGGGTTTGGAGGATGCCGTGAGAAGCAGCGCGCTGGGCCTCCGTGGTCCGGGCCGCCCCTGCCCGGCGGGGCCCCGGCCGGGCTTCTGCGCTGCTCCGACCTCTCCGCCGTTCAAGGCGGCGGGAAACCAGACTGAAGTGGAAGCTGCGTGTACTTGTGGCGTAGCCAGGACCTTTTCACCGCTGTGCGGTAACACGCAAATCCGTTTTAAAAACGGGGAGGAATGGGCACACGGATCTGTAAAAAAGCATGGTGATGTCCTTCCCCCTCCTCGCTCCCCATCCCCCCATAATCCAGATGGTTTAATTAATTTTAAGTGAGTTTTATAGGTAGGGGTGAAGTGTGTCAGAAATGTTATTCTCCATTTAAAAGTGAATTATCCCTTTGTATAAAAAGAGCAGAGCATATTTGTTGAGGTCATCCCGAAAGCATCATCACTAAAAATTATCTGCTGATGCAGAAAATTGGATTTATTCTTATGCTAGCATTTCCATAAAAATACAATTATGTATAAATTTATGTTCTCTAAAAGCTTGTAGTAAACTGGGCTTTTAGAAAATAGCACACTTATCTTTTAAAGTCCAGTTTTAAATGGCCAGATGGCGCTTACAGTGTGGAAGCATAAAGCCAGTGAGAGAGAATTCATTATTTCCATTTGCAAACGAGAGGGCGGGGGGGGAAAAAACTTCAGGCAAAACTCCTTCCAGTTGTTGCGCGGTGTGGCTTGCGCGCATCCGTCGGCGGAAACTACGGGCGCTTCTGGAGCTGTTCGCGGCCGTCGGCGTGGGTCG